GCCTGGTCAGCATAGTGAGTTCCAGACCAGCTGGGGCTACAGGGAGACCCTGCCTCAAAAAGACCAAAAAAAAAAAAAAAAAAAAAGCCATCCAGAAAATATGCAGAATTTGTTTCCAGTGACTCCTGAAGTCTCTACTCTTGTAATTTTTGGTCGCCACTATCCCATTTGCAATTGCTCTGTAAGGGGAAAGAGCAGGTTTTATTTGGAAATAAATTTTAATTCTTTGTGTGGAAAAGGAGAAAATAGTCTTTCACTTTCCCAATCTGGTTTCGATAAAATAGTTCATTCCAAATTTGATAAAGAAGACCTTAGACTTTAGATGGGAATATAAGGATATGCTTATTTATAGAAAAATAATACTTGTGCATCACAAAAATCACCTTTACTTATTTAAATGAGAGGAAGGGCCAGTCAGATGGTTCAGGAGTCAAAGTCCCAAGCCACGCACAGAAGCTGGACACCTGAGTTTGATCCCTGGAACCCATGTAAATATGGAAGAAGAGAACCAACCATACAGAGTTGTTCACATGTACACACGCCATGGCATCAAGGCATGCACTTCTCCCCTCCCCCTCCATACACACAATAGTAATGAATTTTTAAAATAAAGGTAAGGTCACTTTAAAACTTATCTTTCTAATTTTTGTTTTTCCGTTGATGCATACTAGTAAGGGTTTGACAGAGGGAATTCTCACACAGTGTATAAAAATTGGTGAGCTGGGACTTTTATCTTTGATAAATATATCATTTTTAATGTTTAATGCATCATTTAATTTTATATAATATATATTTCAAGCTTGTCTTCAGTTTCTTAGAAAGTATTTTCTCAATCAAAATAAATACACAATGAGTCTTGAATCTAGGAATAGAAAAGTTCTAGTTCTGGGGCTGGAGAGATGGCTCAGTGGTTGAGAGCACTGGCTGCTCTTGCAGAGGACTCAAGTTCCATTCCTAGCACCCACATGGTGGCTAACAACCATCCATAACTCCAGTTCTAGGGGATCCGACGCCCTCTTCTGACATCCGTGGGTATTGCACAATACAGGTGCACTTACATGCATACAGGCAATACACTTGTACACATAAAAACAATAAATAAATAAAGTTCTAGTTCTTTCTGCCAATATGCAAACTCAAGGGGGCAGGAACCTCTTGCATCTGTTTTGGTGGTGTTTCCCTGAAGCCCAGAGCAGTCCCTGACATACAAGTACTCTGAAAATGTAGTTAGGAGCAGGCTTCAGGGGTTGTCCAGTTAATCTGGACTCTAAGGCTCAAGTTTTACTTGGGCTCCATAGCAAAATTCACAATAAAAGGAAGGTGTTTGTTCAATAAAGAACTGCGTGCACAGCCTCTTACGGCTCTTTGAGGCCTGTTCTTGCTTTTTATATTCGTGTTGTATTAACATACAAGCCAAGCACTATTAGGTTATGAACAGCAGTAAAGTGCTGAAGAGAACTCCTGAATTAAGTGCTTAAATTACCATGCAGACTAAGAAGATTTACATACTGAGGGGTGGTGGCAGGGAATGGTCTCAGGGTATGCCAGGCCTACTAAGTGTCTGCACTTTTGCGTCTTCCTAGGAGCACTCACTGTGGGCCTAGTGCGACAGTGTCAAACCATCCATGGACGAGACCGGACCTGCATCCCTCCCCGACTTCCCCCAGAGTGGGTCACCACTCTGTTTTTTATCATCATGGGAATCATTTCATTGACTGTCACATGTGGTTTGCTGGTGGCCTCCCACTGGCGAAGAGAAGCTACAAAATATGCTCGATGGATAGCATTCACTGGAAGTAAGTAGCCCGTGCTTGCTAAGTTGGTCTAGAAGGCACGCACAGTGGCACTTTTGTGAAGATAATCAAGATCAGTAATAAGGACTCCATAAATCTTCAAAGAGCACTTGTGTGGCCGTGAGATAGACTGCACAGTCTCATCAGTTCTTCAGAGTTCTCACCACAAGACCAGGACAGCCACAGCTGTAATTGTTCTGTGTGAAATACTATTTTAATGCACCTTATTTTGCTCACATTTGACATACATATTTTAGGTTTGTGATTCAGAGCTACCAATAGTATGAGTGGTTTCTACTTCTTGAAGGCATTGGTGTGCTCTATGAAAATAAAGATGAGTCAGGACGAATATAAATTAGATGAAGGTGATGATTTGCTTTTTAATGTTGTTGATTTTGTTTCTACCGTGTGTTATATGACCATAGAAAAATCAGTACATTTGATTATTTAATGGTTGTTTATCAAAATTTCTCACTCTACTAAGCTATAAGACATGATAAATTTATATATTACGTATTCACTTATATTTTGCAAAATTGGTTTAATTTCAGGCCACTTCAGATGAAAGCTTAGCCCAAGTTAAAGAAAAACAAATGAACACATACACACCCAAGGACATTTCTGTAACAGTTTTCTTCTTTCTCTCTAAGGCATTTTCTTTCACCTCAGAACATTTGGCAATATTTGAAAACTTTTTTTAAAGTTTTATAAGTGTTTTGCCTAACATTTATGTAAGTGCACCACATGCATGCAATGCCTGTGGAGGCCAGAAGAGGGCGACAGATCTCCTAAAACTGTAGTTACAGACCGTTCGTTGTTAGCAGCCATGTGGGTGTTGGGACCCAAACGTGGGTGCTCTACGTAGAGCAGCCAATGTTCTTAACCACTGAGACATCTCTCCAGCACCCTTAAAAACATTTTTAATACAACTTGAGGTACTGGCATCTAGTGTGCAGAGCCAGGAATGCTGCTAAACATCCTTCCACAGCAGAGAATTATCAATAGCAATGGCCCTGCTGATGAGAAACTGCGTTCTAAAGAAATGAGATGAAGATATGTACGCAAAACACTGAGATTTCTAACATAGTGTCTTAATATCACCCGAGTCCTGCATACGTTTCTGAAGATATTTTAACACAGCTTACTTTTACTTGATGTTTTTTGTCTATTATGATGAGTAAAAGATAAGCTCAAGTATCCCTGGTAACACTGAAATGTAGTTGTCTGGGCTGGGTGTGTAGCTCAGTGTTAGAGCATTGTCCAGTAGGAGCAAGGCCTTAGGTTCCATCCCCACCATCAGAGGGCAGGCAACACCAAACAGCTCAGTGTATTATTAGAGACTGTAGGATAGTGCTGTCCTTCACCAGTCTGTAGCTTTCTATGAAACTTTAGTTCAGATTTTGTCTTACGTTTGTCTACATGACCACCCTTAATTTTAAAATTTAGAAAAAAACATTGCTTTTGATGTAAATAACTTCTCACCTTTAGTAATGTGAAATAAATTAATGACATTTTTCTTGCCAGAGAGCCCTCCTGAGAGAAGCCTTCTCTAGAGAGTAAGGCTAGAAGGGGTGGTAGAGACAAGGCTGCTAAATCAGAGAGCGTTGGTGAAGAATTTAGACACAGAGGATCTCGTTCTTTATCTTCTACTCACAAACACAGTCCTTGAGATGTAATTCATTCTTTAATGAGTAAAATAATGCCAAAGAAGGATTTGTGTGGTCTGAGTACCAAACACCTAAACGATAATGTGACAGACACAGGTGAGGAAACCAGCCACATACCTACAGGAGCCAGCGAAGGGAGGGAGCTGGGATTTGCCTTTCATTCCCTTCAACAAAAAATATTTAAATATGTATAGTTTACCCCCAAATACAGTGTGTTTTTCCATTATTTTTGAAATCACACATGTGTGGTACATACTTCAAAGTTTATGAAAGGGTCATCAAGTGGAAAGTGTACTTTATTACTCTGTCACCTAGCCATCAGAACCTCTGGAGGCAAGCACTGTTAACCAGCTTCTGAAATTCCTAGCTAGCAGTATTCTATACATAGACGCACATCTTTTCTAACGAGTTTTTGTATAAAAATGTCACTGTTCTGTACCTTTATTCCTTAACTTAAAATGGTTTGAAGTAAATGGATTTCACTGGGTTTGCAATCATTCTTTGCTTCTGTCGCCAGAGCTTGCTTGCAGTTCAGAGAGGAATTGGGCTCCCCCTGGTGTCTCAGCCCTTGAAGATGCACGTTAGCTCTTCCCTTGGTTAAGTTACAGTTTTTGTAATAATGTAAGAGTAACATTTTAATGGCAGTCTCAGTCAGTCAAAGGAGAGCCGACCCAAGGGGCACTGCCTGTGGGGACAGGAGAAACAAAAATGAGGCCTTTTCTTCCAATCTGACCTTACTCTTTCCTTTTATTAGTTGTGTGTGGGGGGTGTGTGTGTGTGTGTGTCTGTGTGTGTGTGTGTGTGTGTCTGTGTGTCTGTGTGTGTGAGAATGTGCACCACATGCATGCAGGTGCCTTCAGAGGCCAGAAGAAGGCATTGGATCTCCTGGAACTAGAGTTTCAAGCGGTTGTGAGCCACCTATGTAGGTGCTGGGAACTGAACCCACATTCTTGCAAGAGCAGCAAGTGCTCCTAACTGCTGAACCATCTCTCTAGCCCCCTTTTAGCTCTCTTGACTTACAGCCTCATTTACTGGTATACCTGACTGATTCCTTACTGTCCCTACCAAGAAATCTGTGCCATGGAGGATATGAAGTTATAACTTCACAAGCTTACTTAGGACCCAAAAGCTTAATCTTCACAGGTAGATATTATCAACACTAATAAAAATTTAAGATCTAAAGTAATGCCATGGTTCTCA